TAGTTATTAGTGACGTGAAGCGTTAATTAAGTGTAATTTTAGAATTTAAAAAGATCTTCACGTACAAAGTGAAATCTTGACCGCTCAAATAAATGGTATTAGCGAATCAAATATTTAATTATTTTAATACTAGTTTATGGCAATTTAATCTTTTTTATTGGAATACAATCAGTAAATGTTGAAAAAAAATATCAACATTGCACTTGATTAAACCAAATTATGTTAATGATAAAAATTAAAATAATGAGTCGTTTAATATATTTTGTGTATTAATATTTCATTAGAAGAATTAAATGTTTTTTTCTTAATTGTTAAAAAGAGTAATTAATGTTTTTTTTTATGGGGCTTCTGGCCTTATTTATTGCAAAGTGTATTTGTTCTGAAAATACTAATGATGACAAAGCCTATATAGCTAAAATAAATAATAATGGCATCTAGACTTACTGTTTATTATTTATATTTTTTATAATTATTAATCTTTTTGCAGCATATTGAAATTAATTTAGTGTATTTTTTTTGTTATAATGATTTTGGTTTCATAAATGAATGGTAATGGCATCATTCATAAAAAAAAGATTTGCATGGCCATAGATGTCAAATGGCATTCATTTTAATTGAATTGAGTACACCCCCCATCCATATTCATCATCACTTTCCTATATTTGCCTATTAACTACAATTATTCACTTAGCCCTTCTTTTTACCTATTCAACACCAACACACACAAGGGGTAATCCAACCCCACCCCCACCCCCACCCCCAACCGATTGTTATCGGATGATAAGTACTTTGTTATTTTCTATCTGATATTTTGAGTTTGAGTTTAGAAAATATGAAAGTGTTATCAGTAGGAAATGTAATGTATTATGATTGAAATCTGAACAAGTCGAGCTTCTAAGTAAGTATCAGACACTATCAATATGAGCTGTGGTGCAGTGACGAGACAGTTTCATGGTTAAAACAGATGTTTCGAGTTCGAGCTCTGGATATAAAAAATGATGTTGGAGTGTTACCCTCTGAATGAACTTTGTAATGCGCGATTTAAATTTAATCGAGGCTCAAATACACATTCTGAAACATCGAGTGAAAAAAATATCAAAACACATAAGAAATCAAAATGGAAGCACCTCCCTCACTACCCGGTGATAATTCGGTTTGAGCTAGAATAATTATTATTAATAGGAAGTATTTTATCCTTTAAAATAAGTTTCTTAATCGATAACTGAGATTAATCGAACCCAAAAGTGATTACCACATTGATCCTTAAACTCTCATTCGAGACAAAATACTGAATTTTAATTTCATGAATTCAATATTTTAATTTTAATTTTTGATTCACTATATAATGTTAGAAATTTTAGCTTACTATTGATAGTTTGACAAAACACATTGCTTTAAAAAGTGCTATATCTTTTTAATAAATTTTATATAAATTTAAATTAGTCGAATCAATTGATTTGAAATAGAAGATCATGATTAATAATTCTTAAAATTATTAAAGATGAAATTTTGGAAGATTGAATTGTGGGGTTAAGGGGGTGGGGGTGGGGTGGGGATAACTCGTGTGTAATCCTATTGAGACATTATTGATGCATGTGAAGAGTTCTCATATTTTGGGGTACAAATACATGTGAAGACTTTTAATGTCAATTGAATTTTTTTTTCTCCACAAAAATTGCGTTAAAGTGATAAATATTTTTTTTTAATTAGAAATATTATGTCTGAGTCTTTTTGAATATAAAATCGTTTTTATTATATTTTACAATGAATCTTTTTAATATAAACTAAAATTAAATTTAATTATAATGTGAATACTGAATATCGAACGAAAATAGAAAAAGAAACTCATTGCAATGACTTCATCACCATTGCAGCTAATAAATTTTGAAGTTCACTTTTTTATTTCTTCTGAGGTAATTTCTAATCATTTCACATAATACCATTACCCTGCAACTCTAATGATGGATTTTTTTTTTTGCTATTATTTATTTTTCCTGTGGTGCATTGAACCCTACACGTGAGTGTTTATATTTGCTATTCATATTTTGTGGACCTACTCGATCGGTCGGTTTGGTTCGGTTTTACATATAATCAATTTGGTTTATCAATTTTTGGTTTTAAAATATGTTAACCCAATAATAAATTAATAAGAAATTTTTTATCGATTTATTGGTTTATCGATTTTTGATGTTATTAGTTTGGTTTCGGTTAACCCAATAAGAAAATGTCGATCAAATAATATATAATAGTACGTATGTTATAATTACATGTTACCAACTTACCGCCAAAACATAATAGAAAACTTTGAATGTTGATCAAATTACTAACATTTACAAACTTGCAAAAGCTATCGTCTACAACTACGAACTAGAATTAAAACTAAAATAAAATATTTCAATGAGACAATTTTGAACAGTTGCTTGATCCACCAGATAATCAACAAAGTTCTCACCAATTTCCTAACCAAAAAAATCGCATAGCCTTAAAAGCTAATATTGAATCTATTTATGTATTAAATTATGTATATTTAATATTGAGGAAGGGTAAAGTAGTAAATAACTATCGTCTTATTGAGTTATCGGTTCACTCAATAACCCAATAGAAAAAACCGAAACCGACCCAATAACCCAATAATTATTTTTTCTAAACCCATTAAAAATCCAATAATCCAATTACAATAACCCAGTAACATTTTATCGATTCGGTTTTTGCACACCCCTATTTACGAGTTTAATTTTTATACATCAATAATGATCAAATTATGTTATAATATTATATGATTATATATGATCGATTGATATTACGAAATCGTAGGATTATGCTTTATAACATTGTATGACTATGTATATGATCGAATGACATTACAAAGTCTGTAAGATATGTATGAGGTTAATGCTTATTTAGTGTCAAAAGGTTTAAAAAATAATATTAATAATCTAACGAGAATAAATCGGAGATTGTAATTATTAAAATAATTTTAAAATGGTAAAATTTGTTATTAAGTAAGTTTCGAAACTTAACAATCTAGAATCTCGAAAGAGGCTCGATAAAATGAAATATCAATGAAGTCATACGAATCAAATATTTTATGATAACATTTCTTTTTTTTTAATTAAAGGAATACAAAATATTTTTCTTTTTACGTGAATCTAATTTTTATTTTATCGAGAAGAAAAGAATTTTAACGACTTTTTTTGGCATTTAATTATTTAATTCAATAGAATCCTGGTAGATAGAAACAAATTTGATAAATACTCATATTTTTTAGTACATCAAGTTAAATATATTGATACTGATAATAATTTTATTATATTGTCTATGAATACAAATTAATAATAAAAAATATTAAAACTTTGATTTTTGATCTGATGGTTTAGATTGCAAATACAGAAAGATCATAAAATTGTTTTTTTGTTTTTTTCTACATAATTTTTTCCGTTTGTTTTTTTAAAAAATAAATATTTATTTGGAATTAAATTTGTTTCCCTTGTAAAGAGAGTGATAATGATGAGAAGAGAATCTCGAAGACTGCAAAAGTTGAAAATTTTGGTATGGAAGACAGAATAAAATGTTGGTAATTATGTTAAATTTTATTTAATTATTATTTCTTAACATAATTAATAATTATCCACTTTGTTAGCATGAACAGTTCCCTATAATAAGTTATTATTCTAATAAAATACATTAACTAATTAATTAATTAAGAGATAGTTTACCCATTCTGGTTCCTAATTATAGCATTCTGTCTTTCCTATTTATTTCTCTATATTTTCTTTTATTTCTGTCCTTATTTACTTGTTCACTTTAACAAATCAAGAAATGACAATAATTTTTTATTAATATGCCCTTTTTTAATTCTAAAAATTTCTAGTACGACTAAGTTGTAATGCATGCTTTTTGGAACCAGAATTTAATTTATTATATTTGGAGAATTGCGTAATCTTTTAAGTTAAGGGTAAAATTGTAACTAACCTATAATAATAATTGATGTCTTAATATGTATGTCACTTTTAAAGTGAACAACTAAATAGGGACAGAGGGAGTATATTTAATCTTTTATTAGGGATCAAAAGTATATACATATCAATTAATTTAAGATTATATGTTTTTTAATAAAAATCACAACGTGTTAATATTATTTAGGGGCTAAAAGTGCTAAATGAAATTGATCGTTAACCGATTTTGTTATATTTTTAAATCCTTTTGAGAGTTGGAAAGGTTTCAAGATTTGATTAATTCAGATTCATTTACTAGATAATATATTAAAATAAAAATTAATTTTTTTTAATTTAATATTTAACAAATCTAACATCTTTAATTAATTCAGTCTGAAGAAATTCTATTTGTCCTACTAATTTAGTACATATATATCCTCTTGGTGATGTATTTTTGAGTAAGTATTAGACTATTCCAACAAACTTAATGATGATACAAATTAATTTTCCATATTTGGATTAGAATAAAATTCTTTTTTTAAAAGATTGATGGACCACAAAACTAATAGGTAGTTACATTTTAATAACTTAAAAAAAATATAAAACAAATTAACGATTGATGGACCACAAATCTATTGAGGTAATTAAAAAAAAATTAATATTAAAAAAAAAAGTTTTTTTTGGTCCACTTAATCTATATAGATTGAAATTGTTAATTAGAAGGGAAAATTAGATAGAGATGCTATTGGTGTCAAACCCTAATTAAATATTTATTTAAATGGAACTTTTTGTCTGTCTTATGTCCACCTTTTATCCAACACTTTTCATCATGTTTAATTATTTTTACAGCATTGCTAGATTACATTTTTTACTAATATCATCACTAGTAGTTCAAGTGAAATGATATGCATTTTAGTTCCACCAACATCTATTTTTTATTTTTTTTTAAAGAAAAAATTTGATCAAGTTACTATTTTTATTTTAGGAAAATGCACAAGTATCCCCTCAATCTATATTCGAAATTTCAGAGACACGCTTATACTATACTAAGGTCCTATTACCCTCCTGAACTTATTTTATAAGTAATTTTCTATCCCTTTTCGGCTTATGTGATACTAGCTTGAAAGAAAAGTCAATCAACGTTGGGCCACAAGATAGCGCTACATAGACCGAAAAAGAGCTAGAAAATTATTAATAAAATAAGTTCAGGAGGGCAATATGACCTTAGTATAGTATAAGTGTGTCTCTGATATTTTGAACATAGATTGATGGAGTACTCGTGCATTATCCCTTTTATTTTTATTAGAGGTATATAAGATGTATCTACAATATATTTATACAAACATTTGAAAGTTATTTGAATAGTAAAAATAGTTGGTTCATTCGAGTGTTTGAGGAGTCCTTAGGCCCAACACAAATTAGGCATATTAGATAAGATTATTTTCCTAAATTTAATGTATTTACCTTGATTAGATTTGCATACATAATATAAAGTAATCAAAGAGTATTGAATAATATTTTTACTAATGTATTATTACTCTCTCTTTAATAACATCGGAGTACATATATATTTTAATGGTATCAAGAGTAAACACGTTAAAAGTAGTTAAAAATAAAATATATAAAAATAAAAATGTAACGCGCTAGTAAATAGTTTTTCTTTTTAATATACAACTATTCTTTTCCTTTGGGGTGTGTGGAGTGAGACTCAATAATACCAGAGTAAAACTCATCGATGAGTTGAATTGGAAAAAATTCGTAATATCATTTTAAGTTATTATAATTACCACTTAAATTTACTTTTGAAATTAAGTTAGATTTAAATTGTTTATATATTATATATATTCTTTAGTTTTTTTAAATCTAAATTGTTTGGCTTTAAAATGTACAAGAAGGATTTGTTATCCAAATAGTATCAGCAACAACAGCTTCATCATCATCATTTCTATGCCATGACCATTGTGCATGAGTTGCATTTACCACATCAAGTTCTCCATGCCCAAAACTTGCCTCTCGAAAAATTGAAATGTCTGGTTTTGGATCTTGATACCTATAATATTCGATCAGTAAGAAAGTCGATAGACATATTTCAACGTGCAAAAAAAGTAGATAAATAAATCGAAAGAGAAACTAATGTGATTCTCCAATAATGAATGGTGAAATTGGCGATAGTACTAATTCGATATCTAATTTATATCTATAATCTTCTCTAGAAACAACTTTTATGACGATAGACATAAAAACATAAAAATTTACTCAAAACTAGTTTTTAAACAAGTGAGTTTGGTCCAAAGAAGACAAATTAAGGTGAAAACACAATATAATAAGTACCCCAACTCATCAAAAACAAGAATTTTGAAGTCATAATATTTGATATCAAGACAAACAATTGACAAAATGTATACATATATATACATACATATATACATATATATAATGTGTGTGTGTTTGTAATGTTAGTATAATTAATGTATAATTCATATATATCAGCTAGGAAAAATAAACATCAAATTTTAAATTCCTAATAATAATAATAATAATAGGCAACCTATGTTGGTTCAGCTGTTTGAAATTAAGGTATAGTTGATTGATCGATTAAATTAGATAAATATGTAATTAAAAAAAAGAAAAAAGAGGACTATTTAAAAGTGAGCCAAACTTACTTGGTGGCTAGGCCTTCTCTGTTGCCACCATCTCCAATTGTGATGTATATTGGACCACAATTATTAGCTTGGTCTTTGTATACTCGAGTCTATATATATTAAAACACAAAGAAATAATTATTTGTCGTTAAAAAATTCATCGCACGATAAAAAATCATCGTTAATCATGTTACTTATGAGCTATTCAGCGACAAATCATATAGTATAATGATCAAGAAAAGACAAATAAACGACAGATTATAAGTAAAAATGAAGCTTACAAATCTCTCGTAAGCATGAACATGTCCCGCGAAGACGATATCGACACGAGCCTTGAATAGTAAATCCTCCATAGATGATTTCATTCCATAAGATTCATACTCACCTTGATGAGCAGTATTAGAATTGTACCATGGTGCATGTACAATAACAATAAGCCATGGTGTTTTTTTTCTATCAATTTTATTCAAATCATTTTTGAGCCAATTGTATTGGGCTGATCCAGGCCCAAAATCAGTGTACGAGCCCAACATAATTATATGAAGCCCACTAACTTTAAATGAATAGTATAAATTTGAAGTTGAACCACTTTGTTCAAATGGCATGAGCCATCTTGCATTATATGATGTAAAAGATTGGCTATGTAAAATTGGTATTTTCTCAACCTCATGGTTGCCTTGAGTCACCATCCACGGGCGTTGGCTCGATAACGGCTCCACGAGTCGTCCAAACGAGTCCCATAGTGGTTGCAGAGTGTCCGCGTATGACAAGTCACCGGGTAACAACATGACATCGTAATTTGATTTTGAAATATGATCTAGGGTTGACGTTGTCCAGTCAGTTTGCCCTAGATCACCTGTAACGAAATAACTTTACTGTTGTTTCTAAGACTCACCTTCGACTAATCAAACTATACTAAACTTTTATACTATCGATGTATATAACTTAGAATTGAACGAATAATTATTAATTTAGATATGGATCTTACCTACAACTGCAAATTTGATAGGATATCCAGCTGGAGGGGTTTTGAAATTGAATTCTGGGCTTGTAAATGGGCCTAAAATGTAGTAGTAAATTGTATTGGGCTTTAATGGCCCAATAACAACATTATGTATTTCACCTGATTTATACAAAATATATTTATACTTTGTAGTGTCCCCATTTGCTGAAAATGGGTAACTTCCCGGAGATGTACCGTACTTCACCGTCGCCGGTGTACCAGAATCTTCCGTTATCCACGAAATCCTCGTCTTGTCTTCACCCACCATCGAAATGTGCACCTGAAAGACACGATAAACGTAAAAGCTTAAACTGTTAGAGAACGGATAAGACGTTTTATCTGTTGGTATATGTAACAATGATACTTGAACCTAGGACTTCTAGTTATATCATGTTGATAGTTGTGTGAATTATGGGTGTGTTTTTAAAAAAAATGTCTAGAAAAATATTTTTAAAGTATAGTTTTTTTCCACTTTACATATTCAAGTTATATTGATGTGAATGAATTTTTTCAATGTATAAAGATAGTAAAGTAAAGGAAAAAAGACGGTCTGATGTTTAAAACATTTGCATTTATTTTCAGTCGCGGAAAAGGTCTCACCTCAAAAAGTATGATGTAAATAAGCTATCCTAATACAAACGTTAATGACTGTTCCAACGATTTAAATAATAAATGAAAAAAATTAGAGAACTATGAACATGTTCCTAGCAGTACCATTTAACAAGTCCAACTTAAATTATTTTAACTATTTTGTTTTATTTTATTCATCTTCAAACAACTAGTTTGTTTTACTCAAACATACATCGTGATGAGCATCTCATTGACCAAACTTAATTAATATTACTTGTAAAATCATCTTTCATTTTTGAGTGATAACATGATTTTAAATCGATCAGAATGTAATGGAGTGGTAAATATTTCTTCAATTTTAATTAGAGATCTTAGAAATATGTTCCTCTAATTATTATCTACACGATATTTAAGTTTAATCAAATTCTAATATAAATATCAGATATTGAATAAAAAAACACAAATATGAATAGAATCTTATCACGTGTTAGAATCTTAATCATAAAAGGTAAATTAAAGATTTCAACATGACCATTCCTATGTTGGGTACAAAATTACCTTTGATTAAAAACGATTGATACAAAATTAAATTAATCGAATCTCAAAATAAATATTATCGTGAATTGTCTAACATTTAGGCTAAACGTGGGTGAATATGATATGAATTAATTAATTAGCTCAACTTCCTCAAGACCCTAGTTTTGTGTGAACACAATATTAACTTATTAAATATAATGACAACAAATTCTTGTATTTTCGATGATTTCTATGTATAAGGCTGATAACTATCGTAAAACTTTAGCTATTTTCTTGTTTTATTGACTATCTCTCACGAGAGTTTTCATTGTCATATTAGTAGGGGTGAGTTATAGAAAAAAAGTAATCGAGTTTTGAATAAATTATTTATTACTATATTAGTAGGGGTGAGTTATAGAAAAAAGTAATCGAGTTTTGAATAAATTATTTATTATTATTATTTAAATTAAAATATATAAAGAAATTAAGAAATTATAACGTATCTATATATACAAAAAATAATTTAATTTTTATTTACTAAAAGAATTCAGATGAATTTCTTGTTGTATCTTTACTCCGCCTCAAGGAAAATTTTGTAAATACACAACTTTCTATCATATTCTACAAAAAATTTATCATTTGTATAAATTACTCTTATATTTTTTGGATATATCACTATTAAGAATATCGAGACATAATGTATTGGGATAGATGTGTCTTTGTTTTGCTAATGTGTATTAATGCTATTAAAATGGTTCACCTAATGAGTGTATCAAAACCTTAAACCACATATATAAAGGATCGAAAAAAATAGCAAATACAACAAAGAGAACATCAAATCATATTCAAACAATTCTTATAAAGGAATGGAAAAAAAAATTAAAAAAAATTATATACACCGACAGTATAAAAAAATCAAATTGTTACCTGTTGTGGAGAAGAGGAATCAAGATCTTGAGATAAAGATAAAAATAGTGATTTTCTTGGTGGTGGCCTTTCATAGGAAAGTGAAGATTCAATGGATAAAATTATTAGTAATAAAAATAGCAAAATATTAACCTTATTAGAAGCCATGGTGATGATAGGAATAAAAAGGAATTAGAAGAAGAGCTATTTATAGAAAAATATATTGTGTGAATATATAATAAGGACAATAGGTTTTGGGGGTAGAGCTGAGGAATGTGATTTTCTAGATTCTCAAAAAAAAATTCTCTTTTTTTTTAATATATTGTATTTTACAAAAAAAAAGGAAATTTATTAAATTTTGAATAAATTATTTATATATTTACTAAACGTTACGAATATGAACTAGTCAAACTTACGATTATCGAATATTAATTGTCTTTTTATCATAGTAATTCATTCTAATTTTTTTTTAAATAATCATGGTTTTATATATTTCTCAATTATTCTATAGAATATTTATTCTATATCTTTTAATAATATAGACATTAAATATTTTTTATCATGTTTAATTAAATTATAATTTTTAATAAATAAATATCAAGTAACTTTATTCATTAAAAGTCGATCTTTATGAATCAGCTTTTCGAGATAAAAACAAAATTGTGCTCTCGAGCTGTTTAATTAGTTAGGATGGTTGTCATCTACACATGTTGGCGGTCTTGAAAAAAGTGACACAAAAATTAAAATTATTATAAATACGTTAGAATAGTGAATTGTTTATTTAATTTTTTTAAAAATTAATAAAATTCACGTATGTATAATTTTAAGGTAGATAATTATGTATCTACTAATTTTATATAAGGTGTAATAAATTCATTGAACAGTGAATGTTATACATTAACAAATTATTCAAAAAAGATTCTGAGATATGTCTGTAAAAATAAAAAATTGGTACATCAGAAAAAGATTTTTTTTTGTTTTGTCAATTGTTATTGTGCATTTTACAAGAAACTAATGGTTAAATAATTGGAATAGGTTCAATAAAATAATCTTAATGGGTATTTATTAATTTGTAAAATTTAATTGAAAACAAAAACAATGTTTAAGTCAAAGTTTAGTGACACTAATTGATTAAATGAATTTCATATATGGCAAACGAATTTTATGAAATTATATTTTATGGGTATAGTTTATATAATTACATTTTATGAGTACAATTTAGTTTGTTCGGTGACTTTAAATTTGTATAAAACATTTTTTTAAAATTAAATTTATACAAAAAAATTATTTTTTCAATAAATGATAACAATAGCATAAAATATGGTAACAATAAATTCACATAATCCCATAATTTAAGTAAAACTTTCAAAATCAAATATTTTCCTAAAAACGATTTCTAAAGCTATAGAAAGACAATACTAATTCAAAATCAAATATTTTTCCAAATTTTTTTTAGATAGATCTATGAAACAATCAGACATATATATATATTCTTTTTATTTTTAAGTAAAAGGTATTTAAGTTAAAAGGGTAAAAAATGTTCAAAAACGTAAAGACATTTTTTTTTGTCATTTTAACCAAATTTTCTGATCTAGTGATTTTTTCAATTAAATCTTGTCTTCAGAGTTGTAATTAAATGAAATATATATAATTGGAGTGTTGATATTAATTTGTTGAATATTTAACATTTGAGAATAGAAAAACTCTCCCAATTTATTACGTATTTTTCTACCTTTCCTTTTTAATTATTCGACAATTTATTAGATGAATCGCTTAAGACCAAATAAACGATAATTTTGATAAATATTCTTAAAATTTAGATTGTTAAATATCTTTTTAATAACGGTACTAAAATCCCAAATTAAATATATTTTTAAATTCTATAGGTTACTGATAATAATTTTTTTAAATATTGTTTTTGTAAGGTTTTTACATAATACTTTTCTTTTTGGTGTAATCCTAAAAATGTTGGTATATTTTTTCAAATAACTTAACTTTTGATCATTTAATTTTATTATTATCTTTATTTATTTATATTAATATGAATATTTTAATTTACTTAAATAAATAAAAAACAAAGTCTCTCTCTATATATAATTGTATTGACCAACGTTAAATAAAATTAATGAATATATCAAACTCTTTTCTCTAAATATAAATATTATTTTCATTATTCAATATTCGATGGATATCTTACGAAAAGTATTGTATCATATTATTTAATTATTTACTAAATTAGGATAAAATTAATTATTTTTTCCTACAATTAATAGTATGACTTTGGAAGTTCAAATAAAATTTGAAGATCCAAAATTTCTGTTTTCAAAAACATAATTAACATGAAGAAAGAACGAAATATTTTTTTTTTATAAAATTGAACAAAAATTTATGAAAAAGACCCATTTAAAGGGAAAAACACTCCTTATAAAATATTTTTCATATGTAAAGTTCGAATCTAAGATATCTGATTAATAATATAATAATCTTGTACATTCCACTACAATCTTTTAATGGCGTAAATAAACGGTTGTATTATCAAATTATTTTACAAGATAACTCCATGTTATAATAACTAAATAAAATTAGTTACTTCAAAAATAAGATTAACACTATTATAATGAAATAAATTCATTTATTTAGTAAATGTAGTCATTGCCGTAAGCATGCCCAACAAAAAAAAATGTGAAGGACTTACTTCACGCCAATGCCATCTCATTATACATATTTTATTAATATTTCATAAATATTTTTTTTTAACAAACTCTTTATGAATAATTAAATTATTTTCTCATATTTTTCATAATATATACATTTCCCCTCTTTCTTAAAAGCTTAGTTTATATTACTTGCATATCAAAATGGCAAAAAAATACTCCTCACTTCTCCTCTCCCTCCTCCTCCTCCTTAACTCTCTCCCAAGTTTCAATGCATCGCCGGAATATTCCCGTCCTCCTCCCCGTCCCGCCATCTTCACCGGTCCTACACGGTCCGAATCCGAGCCCGAACAGGTATAGTACTCAACAACAATTTAGTCATGTAACAATATGTTTTTGTTTTACGAATTTTGAATATGTAAAATTTATTGATCTAATTAATTCAGATTAAGTCAAGGTTGACCTACTAACAGGCCCATAACGTGTAAAGGGCTCCTTATCAAAAAGTTCTCTTTAGAAATAACATTTACTAATTACCTTTCAGTACTATCAGTGAAAAATAGTAATTATCATCGAGTTTCAACATCACCAAATGAAACTTCGCTTTGAAAAATAACCACTATCGTAGAGTTTTAACATCCATAGAATATGGCTATAAAGTTTTTTTAAGTTTATCATCCGGGCTTTCAAACCTCTTATCTGACTAATTTAGATTCATACCAAGTCACTCCGCTAACAGGCCCGGCCCGGCCCGTTAAGAAGGAAAAAACACTTCCCACCAAAAAGTCTTGCATTCTAGGAGCTCGAATTGAATATCTCTCATTAAAAGAGACAAGGATTCTATCCATCCCACTACACTTTTATCGATTCTTGAAAATTATATATACCACATTTTTTTTTTGTAGGTACATATTTCTTTAGTAGGAAAAGATTACATGAGAGTAACATGGATAACATCTCATAAACATGAAAAATCCATCGTAGAGTATGGTACATCACCGGGAAACTACGATAAATCATCGACGACCGGAGAACGTATGTCATACCGTTACTTTTTCTACAACTCCGGCGTAATTCACCACATCACAATTGGGCCGTTAGGCCCAAACAAGACGTATTATTATCGATGTGGTGGAAATGGGCCGGAGTTTAGTTTTAAAACGCCACCTTCAACATTTCCCATTGAATTTGCCATCGTTGGTGAGTTAAATTATAATATGACTAATCTTTATATTTTGCTTGTACGTTTTCTTTTGTGTTCATGCACCTTTAGCAATTTAGATTTTATTTGTTAAAGAAAAAAAAGGGAAATTTAGGAAGATTTCAATAAAATACAAATTATTTTGCGATTAGTGGTTTCAGTTTCGAGTTCTAATAGAAAAAAGTTCTATTATAGGGAGTGTTTTACCTTAAAATGCTACTAAGAAAATTCATTCATTCCTAGATTTCTATTTTCAAAAATTTGATATTCAAACTTTAAAATATAATATTTATTAATTTTTTCTTACTTATATATATATATATATAGTATTAATAATATTGAGTTCGATTAAACCTGTTACCTAAATATTATCACTATCATGCATCTCTTTTTTCTATATTTTTAATTGTTTAATTCACTTTAACGTTTTCTTTCCTTTCCTTCCTATACAAACAAAGGCTTTAGCTAACCAATAAAAATTGTGAAAAAAATCATATTAGAAAGCGTTTCCCTTTTTAATATGTTTTATATGGTACGAGTTTGAAAGTATCAGACATTAAATGAGAAATAATTTTTTTAAAAAAAAACTAAGGCTTAAATTGCAATTAATTGACAAGTAAGATCTATATTTCCGCTGACACGAAATAAAAGTGTAGCTTAATTAATTAGTTACATTAAAATAATTAAACTAATCTATGACACTATTACAAAAGCACATCTAGTTTCAATAATAACATTCAATAATAATTGATTTAATATCATTGTATTTAGATACGCTAAAGACTTTAGTTACATTCATATAGAAAAGTGATTATAAATATTTATTATTGTCGTTAAATAAAATATTATCGCCACAAAATTGTCTACTTGTTGTAGTGTGAGTGTACGATCAAATATAAAGTCAACTAATGATCACGAGAAAATGTAGAAATTATTTATAATGGGCCGGGAGACACCAAATTCGAATGATAGTTAGCTGAATATATTTATATGAAAATCATATTGTGTATATAAAAAGAAAAAAAAGGATATACGTATATGTTATATATTAATTGTTATTGTTGAAATTTCTAACTTCGTCATTGATTTAAACAGGTGACTTGGGCCAAACAGAATGGACAGCCTCAACTTTAGAACATATAGGTGCAAAAGACTATGATGTACTTTTGTTGCCTGGGGATTTATCCTATGCTGACACACAACAACCACTTTGGGACTCATTTGGTAGATTGGTTGAGCCTTATGCAAGTAAAAGGCCTTGGATGGTGACACATGGCAATCACGAAATCGAAACGTTCCCAATAATTTATCGTCATGGTTTCAGAGCTTATAACTCGAGATGGTTAATGCCATATCAACAAAGTGGTTCAACATCGAACCTATACTACTCCTTTGACGTGGCAGGGTGCCACGTCATCATGTTGGGATCCTACGTGGACTTTGATGCCCAATCGGATCAATACACGTGGCTACAAGGTGACTTGGCAAAAATCGATAGGGGGGTGACACCGTGGATTTTCGTGCTCGTCCACGTGCCGTGGTACAACACTAATTTAGCTCATAAAGGGGAAGGTGAAAGTATGAGGAAATCAATGGAAGAATTGTTGTACAATGCTAGAGTAGATGTTGTCTTTGCGGGGCACGTTCATGCTTATGAACGTTTTGTAAGTATACTAAGCTACATTCTTGTTTTAATTTCGTATACACATATCGCGTAAAAAATCTTCATCTTTTTCATTTTTTACAAAAACTTGTTGTAGTTGGTTATCTGCTTTATAGAGGTGTTCGAACATAAAATAAGTTAGATATTTTTACAACTCATATAACTTTGCTTAATTTTTTTCCCTAGATAAAAAGCATGTCCAAACATAGCTAATGAGTCATGAGTGCCATTTGTAAATATGTTTTCTTAATTTCACTTTCAAATACCTTATTTTAAAATTTCAACCCAAAAAGTATACTAATTTAAGGGTCACTAATCCCATTTTTTTTAATGAATAATTGTAATTTCAAAATGTAGTTAGATTTAAACAATTTCACTCTATTTATTTGGTATATCATTTTTTTGTTTTGGTATATATTGTAGACTAGGGTTTATGATAACAAGGCAGATCAATGTGGTCCAATTTATATGACAATTGGAGATGGAGGAAATAGGGAAGGGCTTGCTATGATGTAAGTTGCTTGATTCTTATAGTATTTTGTTATTTTCATAATTATTTACATAAACCAAAATATAGTTTCACCAAAAAAATTCAAGCAAGGTATATATATATATGTCGATGTTTGTGTCCATCAATCTCATTTAAAAGTTTAACATTTACAATGCGCCCACAGGAGGGGCATCCATGTTAATGATGTTCTTCTTTTGTTGTTATAACGTGTCATCAATGAGACTTCAAATCAGAATCTTCTATCTGTTTAAAAATCATATGGAAGCATCTGATTGTTTGACATAAAAATTAACTCAAATTATCGATACAGTTCACATTTTTTATTTACTTAATTTCTTCTTCGACTAGCTAACATGATTTCTTTAATCATTTTGAAGCTTTGAAAACCCTAGCCCATCAATCTCAATGTTTAGAGAGGCAAGTTTTGGACATGGTAGATTGAAGGTATACAATGAGACACATGCACATTGGTCATGGCATAGGAACAATGAAGCTAATAACACATTCATGGCTGATGAATTATGGCTTAAAAGTTTTGCTTCCTCTAAATCATGTTTGCCTCATCATGAGAAATTTCAAGAAATGAAGGATGAACTCTAGCAATGGCAATGAATCAAAATTGTTTGAATTTTTCAATTACCTTTTTTTGGTAGTTGTTTGTATACCATAATAATAGAACCATTTTTTATAATATAAAAACACCGGTACATAAAGGTGGATGCAGAACATAAATTAATCGTTTATATTTGAATTAATCCAGTGGCGGAGAAAAAATTTATAATTACATAATGGATAGAATTTAATAGTTATGAATACACCCTTATTGTCTTTTTGATACGTGTCATTAAAATTTCATTGTCAAATGAGTTTAAAGAACTATCTTTTAGTGGTCCAAAAAAAAAAATTTAGTTGGCAATGAATTTAAAGAACTACTAGTAATTGAATGGTGAAGTGGTAGAGACAAAGTCCATAACTATCTCATTTCACTTTCATAGTGATATTTAAACTTTTGACGTAACGATTCTATTAAACTTTTATTTCATTTTTTCAGATTCGTTACGTCTAAATTTAAATAACTTGAACTTTCTCCTTAAAAGCATAAGAAAGATCATAAATGAAAAATCTATCAATGAAGGTGTGACAAAACAAATGAGTTTTTTAATCAAAATCATCCTTAAATTATATCGCAAATCTAAACTACATCCTTAAAGTATCATTCTTAGCATAAAACATCCTTCAAATATTTAAAAGTGAACAATTTTCATCCTTCTACTTTAATTTATCGTAAAACTAACAGATCCTAATTATTATTCTTAGATGCGCCAAAAATATTATCGTGAACTTTTTCGGTAATTGAGTTTAGCATTATGAAAAATCTTTTAACTTGACAGTTTTTTTTTATTCTTCATGTAGTTTGATAATAAAAATATTATTAGTTTAAATATGTTTCTTCTCAATTGAATATACTAGAAACAATGTTTATTGGAGACTTACGCTTCTAATAATATAGAATGAAACTCAAATGCGAGATATAACAATATTTAGATTACTTCAATATCGAATTGACCCAAAAATTTATTGATCTAAATTACAATTTGGATGTGAAAAAGGTAAAGATAATTAAACGTCAACTTCTTTCCGTTACTAAATAAGAAAGGAGCAGATCACGTACATATTCTCACAACTTTCAAACATTTTTTATTTCCGTAAGCAATAAATGTCTAAGATTTATAATATTTTTTTTAAAAAACTTTTTTATAGAAAGTAATGTAATTATGCAGGAAAACTTTTTTTTTTTGATAGTCACATGAATTGCTCATGTTTTTTTTGGATCCCTTAGCTTTTGATAATATCTTACAGAGGGATGAAAATTGTTTATTTTTAAATTATTGAAGGATATTTTCTGCTAAGAATAATACTTTAAGAATGAAGTTTAAATTTATAATATAGTTAAAGAATGTTTTTGATTTAAAACTCCAAAACAAATTAACAAAGAGTCATTGTCATTTCTTTGCCTTAGGTTTAGAGTATCACACAGCATGAAGAAATAAAGTTTAAAATAATATTTTAGCGATATGTTTGGGAATAAATTTAGAATTTAAATTTATAGATTCTGAATTTTGAGTCTTCTCATACATAGCAATTAAAATAAATTGGACTATATGATCATTTTTAATGAAAAAACACTCAAAAGGTCAATGTCAAATTTTAAAAAACGCTACACAAACTTTATCAAATACCAAAAATAGTTCAAATTAGTAAAAATCATACCACAAAAATTGCATCAGACTGTTTTTTTAATTATTATTTCAACTTAAGAAAGTAAATAATACTACAATAATAATAATAATAATAATAGAGCGAAATTCAAGTCTTTTTATAACAAAGCAAGCCAAGTAATATAAATTATTTCCTAGAAGAAAAAAAAGGATTGATAATAAAAAAGAAAATCGAAATATAAATTTTATATTTTACATTCACATAGCTTTTTTTTGGAACCAAACAACCCCAATGTTTTCCTTTTTATTTTCAATTTGGTCTCAACGAAGAACCATGACCACGATCACAACCACCACCATCATCATCGCTTTCGTCACGACCTCGTTTATTTCCAACACCAAAGAAAAAGTCATCTAATCCAACGGTTAGGATTAAATCTTCTTTAATTTCTCAGCTTTGATCAATGGATTTGCCTTAGCTATAGCTTCTCTCCCCATTGACTTAAAATCAAATGTACAAGCATGAACCTCTGGATACCTATGGGTCCCACAAAATATGGTCCCACACTTGCATCTAAATCCCATTAACCCCATTTTCTTCTTACAAACCAAACATCTATTGGACTGCGGCGTCACAACATTTGACGTCGTAGTCTTCATTGTATCCGTCGTCAAAACAATCGGCTCGATTATCTTTTTTTCCGAAACCTTTTTTATCGGAGAAAAAAGAGAATCGATTGATTTTGCATCGGATTTTTGTTTTTCGATATCGCGATAACATTTTGAACAATAATTTTCGGTTGTAGAGTTGCCAAAAAAACCACAATTATTTGCACATAATTGGTGACGTCCACCTTCTTGGGATTGAAATTCATGTTCTTCCGCCATAGAAATAATTTTTTTTGATTGAATATTTGATGAAAATAAATTATGGGTTTTGTAATTAAAGCAAAAGGGTGTTGAAAAATGGAAGAAAAGATGGAGAGAAAAATGGAAAAAAAAGGGTGAATGAAGAATCTTGAAAATAGGGAGAAAGGATGATTTAGAAAGAAGAGAAAAACAAAAGGGGGAATTTTAATAATGAGAAGGATTGATGATAATATAATATATAGTATAATAAAATAAATTATTAGGATGGACAGGCTGGAAGGGTCAAAAAGGAGGTGTGGAAGGGAGTTTTAATTTTTTTAAAAATTATCAAAGATTTTTTTTTTAAAAAAAAAATCTTTTCTGATATTTGATATTTGTATTAAGATTGGATAGAGGTAAATAAAAAAGATAATTTAATATTAGTCCGAGTTTGAATATGAAAGATCTGATTAAGAATAAAAAAATCATTTTTGTACTGTTATAATTCTTGTTGGTTATAGTTACTTCATTAGCCCACTTTTATTTATTCACTTTGCACTTTACATACTCCTTAAAAATGATTTATATTAATATTTTACCATAATAAATTTATTAAAACCGTATGATTTTAGGTTTTGAGAATGATTTAAAAAATAATAAAATTAATTAATATTAAAAAGTAAAATAGAATTATCATTTTTCAATATAGTAATAGTGATAAAATTAAAAATCACTTTTTTTATATATAGCGAAGAAATAAAATATTTTTATTAAAACTTGCAAGTGAAGAAAACCAAGAAAATTTGGAGGAGATGATTAGATACAATTATTATTTCACTAGAAAAAGAATTATGAGGTATCATATTTTATTTCATCCAACAGTAAATTAATATTTCACACTCATAAATCTATCTTAAAAAATAGAGTTATTCGATTATTTTTTTAATTATTGAAAGATAGTAATAAAAATTCAAACACAAAGTGACTTGAATACCATTATTAAACAAAAATTCTTATATTTTAATTCATTTATAACTATTTTTTTAAATACATTTCTACCTTCTTTTGTTGTGCCAAAAAGATCATATATTTGAATAATATTTTAATGGAACAATATAATTTGTAAAATTTAATGGGGTATGTTATTATATTGGTGGGGTGGGTGTGGGGTGTGGGGGTGGGACACATGGATAAGAATGAGTGGTTGGAAATTGGTTGAGTGTTTGTTAGGTGGTAGGTTAAGTTGATTAAAAGTTATTATAATGAATTTGATTTTATTATCCTTCTTTTGTGTGTTGTTATTTTACATATTTGTTTGATTAAGTTATTATGATGAATTTGATTTTATTATCCTTCTTTTGTGTGTTGTTATTTTACATGTTTGCTTAGGTGTATTCATAGTTTTGGGTCAATATTGCAACTCTATAAATTAATTACTTAAAGACTAAATAAAGAAAAAGAAGTACAAGAATCAATGTATTGTTCTAACACTTTTATGAGGGATGGACTCTTTCACATTTAATTAACTTTGGTTTAATACTAACCACATAAAAGAAAATCAAAATTATTTATGAACGTTTTTGATTGGATAGGCAATTAGTATAAAACGAATAAAATCATGAAAATATTTACTTTTGAGCAGAGTGTACAACTCAAACTGAATTGACGAGCCAAATTAAATCAAAAAAAAAAATATTTGTGATTTGGTTTGATTGGTTTGGCGGTTAAAAAAACAATCCGATCACTTTTAATTTGATTTGGTATTAAAAGAAAATAAATCAAATCGAACCCTAACCAATTGTGTGTCTATATATATATGTGTGTATATATAAATTGATTTATAGAAACAAAAAATATTATTTACATATACTTTGTTGATATATTTTTAGTTAGTTTATAGTTTTCAATTTAATATATTTTATTTTAAGTTTGAATTTGTAAAATTTTGTAATGTATTTTTAGTTAGTTTATAATTTTCAATGTTGATACATTTTATTTTAAATTTGGACCTGTAAAAATTCTAAATTTTTTTTTCCTACTAAGACCTGCAGTTATAATCATATTGTTAGAGTTTTTCAAATTCAAAGGTAATAATTTACTTTGTAAATATTTTATGTATTCTGTTTGCCTCTAGCCTTTAATCTATTAGTTTAACATAATAAACGTAGATATTTCACAAATAAATATTATATACTCATGTGAATATTACATTCTTTTAAAAAATTTCTATTCTCAACATTTTCAAAGTTTAGTTTATCATGCAGTGAAAAAAATATTTGATCACTTTTTCAAATATTATATAGTTATAAAAAATAAAAAATCAAAAAAACTGACTAAAGTCAAAATTAATAAAAACTTGTTATAAATCTATTGAATAAGTGGATAGTCCATAAAGTCAGTACATGAACAACCATTCATATTCACTAAGTTACATAAACTTTTTTAGATAAGAATGTATCTATTTATTATGATACTTAATATGGTGACCTTTAGAGTAATTTCTTACTCTATAAATAGGGTTGTTCATAGCACACGAAAATCATCGAAATGAGGGGTATGCTCGCTTCG